CTATTATTAAATGTACAATAATTAATTTATTAAGTAGTAGTAGTAATATTATATTTTAGCAATAAAACAAAGAAAAACTACATTATTTTATATAAATTAGAGAAATAAAAAAGTTATTTACAATTGAAAAAAAAATGAAAAATGAAAAATCAGTATATTATTGTGTGAATAGAGCTGTTTTTTGCTTTAGATGGTCTGCCTCTTTTTCTTTTTCTTTTTCTATTTTATTTTGTAAAATTGAAAAACTACGTATTTGTATATATAAATGAATTCATATTGCCCTTTGTTAATGGGTGATTGATCAAACAGCTCAATACTGAACTACTACTTTATTTCAGAAATGGTAACTATATATATATATGAATGAGCTAGGAAAAAAAACAAATATTCTAGAAAGAAAATATGACGAAGAAGGGAATATACCTGAACAACATCAAGAGAAGAGAAATATTCAAGTGAAGGAAAGAAAACAAAAGATATATGTATATATCGGAGTTGATTTTAAAATTCGGTCCCCATTCAAAGGCGACTAGTTGATTTTGAAATATTTTAAAATCAACTCCGACATACATGTATCGTACTTGTTATCTGTACGACATTGTAGAAGAGAAGAAAGGAAAAAAAGATACATAAGCGAGTCACACTATAACACCCTTTTTATATAAAATCTACCTTATATAAAATTTACCTTTAATTTAAATAAATTATTGCTCTTTCAGTATAACTATTGCTAAATTTCATTATTGCTTATTTAAATTATTTTATTGCTCAATTAAATATAAGTCTATTTTATTTAATAGAGTGCGTCAGTACTATCAATTCTTGTCTAGGTGATACATTTATGCATTTAGAAATATTATTTCACATCTTATGGATAAGCTAGTGTCCAAGCTGAAATTACATTCAATCTCAGATTGCTCTAGACATAGGTGAGCCAGCAAAGATAAATTGGTGACAATAGTTACCACTAACAAGAAAATTATTTATAATCTAACAATATTCTCAGCACGCTTGGTATTTTATACGTGCTGCTGAATCATACAAATACCGATAGAACGCTGAATTATGTCAATTATTTACTGAAAAATATGCTTCTCATTGTTCTTAAAAATATCATCTGATTTTATTGCTATCCCTGGAATTATTATGCTAGTCTACTAATGGATCTAGACGAACGTATGACCCAAAACTAGTTTGGACATTAACGTACATTATTCAGATTTATCTGTTAACTATTCAATTGTTACTTATTATTCACAATTCGCTATAGTCGTAGTTGTATCAAACATTTTATTTCTTAATCCTTAATCTATATAAATGATTTCTCTTTCATAATAAACCATATCAAATATGATAAATACATTTTTATGAGATAAGTTTTCTTTCTAAATATCTGAAATTGTTTACGAAAAGAAGTTCTAATATAATTTTTATCAAACCTTGTTGACATCGTTCAACATTATAATTAGCATCTTGAAGTAATTTAGAAATAACAGATTCGACATCTTCTCCAACATAACCTATTTACAAAAAAAAAAAAAAGATTTTTTTTATTCATTTATTCATTCTTTTGTTTTTTACCGGCTTGTGTAAGTGTTGTACAATCACAAATAGCAAATGGTACATCAAGACATTTTGCAATTGTTTGTGCAAGTAGTGTTTTACCTAGAATATTAATAATTTATTTAAAAAAGAAAAAGAAATTAAAACTTTTTTCTTTTATATATTTACCTGAACCAGTTGGACCAAGCATAAGAATATTACTTTTTTCAAGTTTAATATCGTATTTATCATTATTTATAACATAACTTCCATGTTTTGATTCTTCATTATTATTTGAATTGAATGACGAGTTAGTATTTGAACCATCAAATGGGACGGTATGAAACGGTATACCAATATGAAAAAGAAAACCTGAAAAAATCATAATAGAAAAATATGTATGAGATTTTCTGATAAATAGGTCAATGCATCAGTAGAATGTTCTGAAATTTGTAGCTCTAAAGAATATTTTCTTCCCAAGATATTAAAGTCTCAAAAATCATTCATTTTTTACGAAAAGATGCTAGATTTTTCCGGTTTTTGGAACTTTAATATTTCAAAAAGGAAACATTCTTTGAAATGGAAGTTTTCAGAACATTCTACTGCTAAGTAGAGCTTTCTGTGGGATTAATCTCATCTTGAAATACTGTCATTCAATATGTTTATATATATATAAATATCATACCAGAAACTATAAGTCTAGTAAAAATATCTGTAATTCTGGATAGCAGGACTAAAAGGCTTGATGCTTGTGAGACTGTTCATATTTCATTAAAGTCTGCTTTATGCATAGATTCCGAAATCAAACGTTGGGTTAGTTAATTCGCACCAATTCTGTTTCAAAATTTAAATTCTTAACGGTATTTATGAGCTTTAACTCTTGAAAGTCTTCTCGAATCACTTCACAAAAAGTCACTTGATTTGGCTTAACAACAAGAGAGAGATGTAAGTGCTTTTTTTATGACACTGACTTTTCAAAGACGCAATATATAATGAATTTTTTAAAATTACGTTGTTGATTGGATAAATTTGTACTAAGACCATTAGTAGGTTCAGATACATTTCGTTGAGATTTCGTAGTATTTGCAGATGGTAAATTATTATACAAACGTTTGTAATGATTATAAACGGCAACTGACATGACTTTTTTTGCATGTTCTTGACCAACAACATATTTATTAAGAAATTCATAAATCTAAAAGACAAGGATTTATTCATTTACTTTTTTTGTTGTATAAATTAAACATTTGTAAAAAAAAAACCTTTTTTGGTATTGGTAATGGTTGTCGTTTCTTAGTTTTATCTTCTTTAATTTTTGTTGTTCCTTCATTTTCAGATAAAACAACAAAAAAATGACTGCATTTTTCACATTTTACAAATCTTGTTGAAGCTAAATATGTATAATACAAAAAAAGAAATATATATGTTTATGCTATATTAAATTATAACTCACAGACAAGATTTTCAATATGTGTACAAATATCACCACATTTTGGGCAAAGAAATGGAATCTTGCCTGAACCATCATTTCCACCTGAAGTTAAATGAAATGATAAAAAGTTTAAGAATCTTTAATTTTTTTTATATAAGAAAATTTAAAGTAGAAGTTTACAACACGAAGACATGTATTAATTAAAATAGATTTCGATTAAATAAATCTTAGTAACTGAGAAAAAAAAATCATAGAATGATTGATTTTCCAAAGAAACAACAAAAAAATATCAACATGTTAATATACTTTCATTTTTAAGGTTTCACAACTGATTCAATGTGATCTATTTGAATTAAATTGAGACTTGTACCTGATCAATTCTTTATCATTGATTAATTATTTATTGATATTAATAGTGTATATGAAGTTAGTATTCTTGTTGCGAATGTTAATTTTCGTGAAATATATTTTACAAACAAGAAATAAATAGTTAAAGAATACGAAATTTCTTCGATTTTTCAATATATTTCTATTTATTTGCTTGTGTTATTATAGTATTTTGATGACTTTATTGATTAATAACTCTTTTTTCCTTTGCTACTAAGAGGGTATTATAAAGTATTTCTCGCTCGATACTCAACTAAATTTATTTTGTTTCATTTGTTGATATTATAAATAGAGAAATTTTGTTGCCCGTTTCATGAACTCTAGCTGATCTCATCGTTTGCACCTTATAATGTAATACACATATACAACAGCTTTTTCAAAGAGAATAGGCTAATGTATTTCAAAAATATACAAAAAATGAAGTCCTAGCAGTAAAATTTCTACTTTTGTGTAAATTATTTTTTTGTCAACAGCTTTCAATTTCAGTACGATTTCTAACAAAATTGAATGAGCATCATATTCATCCATTAGATAATGATGTTTTTGGAATATGCATCAATATTATACCAGACAGAGATCAGTTTGATCTTAACGAGTGAAACTCACTGACTTCAATTTCGAACATTATGTTGATCAATAAAGAAAACATATATATTGAGTAAAATTACTCCGAGAAAGTAAATCTCTAGTTGACTAGAATAATATTGAATCAAAGCTTATTATTCTATATCAAATACATGAATGAAATGTACAAGAAAAAACATACAACTGTTGGTAATCATCAAGAATGTTAAAGCAAAGTATTTATTATTGATATGCAGAACTGAGTTACTTAAACTTCTGTAGTTCTATTCAGTCAATGAATGTCATATTTCATATTTTGTTTTCTCTTCTGATTGTCATTTAGATTGGTGAAATAATGGGCTCCAATGCAACAGACTTTTAATCTAACAGATGTCTAGATAGAACGCTTTTGTATATATTTGTATTCGAATTGTATCATCACTAATTTTTTTTAAGTCATTCTCATCTATGATTATTCAATATTTTCTTAGAAACATTAAACGAAAAAATTTTAAATTACCTTTCGAACTCTGCCCCATACCACGAATTGTATACGAATTATTGCTTGATCGTGTGAGTACACTACTTGATAATGAATATGCACGTAAATGTTGACATTTAGGTATAACTAAATTTCTTGATTGTTGTAAAAAGCAATTTATGAAAATGTCTATTTTACAAAAACAATAGACGGACAATTTATTGATTAATATTTTAAAAAATATCAATACCAAATTCATGGCGAAGAAATTTTCTTAATAAAACTTTTCGAACATACATAGATTGTTTCAGATCTAAGGGTAACAAGTTAAAATAAGGTTCTTATCTATGGCTTCTATATTTAAAAGTGCACTTGATAGAGATATAATCAAGATACTGCATGGAATCGTCAAAGTTTTCTTCCATTCAAATAGAACAATCAAAAGAGGGTGCTCGATGTCAAAAGATCTATGATTGGATAATGTTATCAATATAAACCCTGGTTAAAGAGAGAAATAGTTTTAAAACCGCTTTTCTTCTTTCGTTTTGCTTCATTGCATCAATTGTTTTCTTTTGTGTTCAATTAGAAAAAAACATGTCTAACAATAGAGTAAACTTTCCTATGTACAAGTATGTCATAGATTTTGTTTTTTTTCAAATATGATTTTAGTTTTTTGATATTTAGTAACCTTCCATATTCTCAAGCAGTTCAACAGCAATCTTTATATGGTCCAAGATTTCCTAATAGTCTTTCACAAGTGAACATATTTCTCTGCATCATCAAACGAAAAACAAATTTTAAGATTTTTTATTCATTCTAGTCACGAATGCCTCAATATAGGAATTATCCAATGTATTCTTCAATACAAACTCAACAGCCATATACTGGTACGTTTACGAACTCGAAGAACTTTAACTAAGCTTATTAGATATAAAAACCTAAAATGTATTCATTTAGCAAGTGTTTCACTATTTTTTAATGTATTGTATAATGATATTAAAGTTATTGCTTTCCACTATAGACAGGTGTCCCATGTTCTGATATGATATAATATCGAAAGATGAAAGACTTTTTCGTAATGAAGAGACCACTCTTAATGCTACCCCATATTCAATGTGAAACGCCTACTAAACAAGTACTGTCAATAACTTTAAAGAGACTAAATTCTCTTACTTCAAAATAGTGAACATGATCGAATTTATATTTTTATATAATAAAATATGTGCTAGTAGAAATTAATTCATTTATTTCTTCCGAAGTATGAATGGTTAATCGTGAATTATGATCTAACTCTTGAAATGAAAAATATGTTTATGATTTAGCACTTCAAAAACAGTAATTGATAATAACAGGTGGTCTTTTTATACCTGGTTTATCTTAATATATTTTATCAAATATTCTAAATTTAGAATAAAAAACGAGAAAATATAAAACAGGTTTTTATAATTCGATCATACCAGAAAACTTCTTTTTTTTTTCATCTTTGCACGTTTTATACGTAAATTTCTATATCTTATTCATTATGCTCTTAGTATTTATTCTAATTTCATCAAATAACATTCTTCTTCAGGCTATAATCATTACAATCAATCAGCTATTGAAACATTAGCTGCTTTCACTCCTCCACCTGAACCATTAATAGCTAATTATCATCCATCAAATTTATCTCAACAAAATGTTAATCATTGTTCAGAAAATAATATCTCTAAGACTACAAATTCAACACGTACGTATTATTGTGAAACATGTCGTATAGCATGTGGTGATCATGCTTCATATCAAGCACATTTAAATGGTTCAAAACATAAGAAAAAAGAAACTAGTTCTCTAAATCAACAAACAAATCAGAATGTATTTCGATGTGATTTATGTGATATAACTTGTACAAGTTCTGATGCTTATAAAGCACATTTAGATGGAAGTAAACATAATAAAGTAATTGAATAATATTTTGTTTTCCTTCATTTACAATCATAATATTGTCATTAGACTGTAAAATTACATCGTAAATTAGGTAAAATTATTCCACAGACGGTTAATCAACCATTAATTCCTATTAATGAATCACAAACAGTAACAACTAATGAAGAGAAACAATTAAATGAATATAGTATGAAATTATTAGGTTCAGAATATATTGAAATATCATATGATGATGCAAATATACCAATATCTTATTATTGTAAATTGTGTAATTGTAAATTTCATGATTCGAATACAAAAGATGCACATTTAAAAGGAAAACGTCATCGACTTTTTTATAAAGTAACAAAACAACAGAGACTTTAGGAAATAATTTTTCTTTATTCTATTTATAGAAAAAAGTTAATTCGATTTTTCAAGTTGATGATAATAAATCATCAAGCCAAAAACAACATGTGAATGAAACAAACGAAAATACGAATGATTGGCAAATAATTAATAACACTAATAATCTAATAGATATTGATAATGATACGAAATGTTTGATGAAATTACATGAACGAATAATACCAACAAGAAATCTAGTAAGTAGAAACTATAATTTTCGAAATTTGAAGGTCTAAACTCAAATTTTCACTGCATGAAAATCTCTTAGACCATATTAAAAAAAACCTCGAAAACATCAGGAGACACTCTATGGCATGACCTGATCTGTAGTCAAATATTAAATCACCTATAAATTTTGCTATTCAGTTTTTGAAATGTGATGATTCGAATTCAGAGGGTTTTCACACTAAAATATATTATGTCAAAGTCAGTGCCTTTTTTGTGTCACGTTATAAACACTAGTGTTTTACTGATAATTCCTTTAAACAAAAGTCTCTAAGGTTGAGTTTTTTAGGATACCTAAAATAACTTCGCACATATGTAACATATAAAAATTAGTTCTGAGAAAGTTCATTATCTTGAGATACGAGTATTTTAATTTTTCAACGTCGTACCACTAACGAATAGTTCTGTCCATATCGTTTTTGATAAACTAGGAAAAAGCGATATGAATAAACAAAGATGAGATTCACATCTTGAAAATTATGTTCGATTTCATATTTAGTTTGAGTAAAAATATGACCAAGCGAAAGAAATTTTACATGTAGCACGAGAATGAGAACCAAATTGATTTGATATTCTCTTCAGTGATTGAAATGTAAGTCTCAATCATGCAAGTTTTTCTGAATATAAAATATAGAAAAACATTCATATGATATCATATTGATTATTAATGTTGATATAGACCTTAATCATTCAGATTATAGACTTTAAGGTAAATAAAAATCGAATAGAGAGGGCATGCTTTGCGTGATTTATTTGCATGGAATAGAATCAAACTAAGATATCAAAATCGAATGAGATAATATCTATAAAAATTTCTATTTTGGACATGGAAAACTCATAGTTATAACAGAAATAATTGGAATAAAAGCCGAGCCTCCAATGATTAAAAAATTGATCTAACAACATACTACTCATGTCGAAAGTAATGGATGTTCTAGAGAAAATGAACCTTTCTGTATTTTAATGATATTTGTTTTAGTATTTATTCTGTTCATATTCAATTTTTTTATTAGATTGACCTTTTAGTTCTCTGCAAAATGATATCATTAAAATACAAAAAGGTTTATCCCCTGTAGAACATTCGATCATATGTTTTAATCAAAATTTTATCTACAGCTCGATACAATCGAACAATTTGTTAGTGCTGTTGAAACAGCTCTTAAATCTTGTTCTCATCAACTGTGTTCTTCACAACCGTCGACAATCGATAATACCTCTGAAACATCAATGTAATGAAATAAGAAATTCAAATTTTATAATTTCTTATGTATTTTAATTTTAGTACTAAATCTCCATTATTGGGTGTATCTCGTATTGGTGGACTCGTGAAAAATTTATTGATAAAAACTGATCACTTGTTTCACATCGTTGTTATTTGTACAGAATGGCCAACTTTGAATCTCTTTGAAAAAATTTTTTCTATATTACCTGATAATTTTCATGTAAGTAGATTAGTTTGGAAAGGAAAAACTAATTTAATTAATCGAACAGGAAACATGGAAAAATCAAATTAATATTCAATGTCAAAAAGATGACGAAACTATTCAAGTACATACAAATACTATTGAAGGAGAAATGTCCGTTTCAATTTCATTTACATCATTATCTATTCAACAACAAGATGGTCAAATCTCGGAACAACTTTTAACAAAAACAAATTGTTTAAACACTTTATATGCAATGCATTCAGTTCAATGGTTTCAAGTAAAAAAACAACTAACAAATTGTTTTTTTTTTAATTTATTTTTCAAATATTTAGAATCATATTAGTACACGAAAACATGCATCAGCATTAATCCGATGTTTACGTTATAAAACAAAAATTTCATCAAATTGGCAATCATTATCATCTGAAGTATAATGAATTATTTTTAGTTTTATTTTTATTTTTTCTCATACTTATATTCTATAGGCTATTGAAATTCTCATTGAACATACTTTATCAAAATCTGTATCAGCTGTTGGTGCATTTCGACGTGTTCTTGAATATCTTTCTGGTGGTTTGCTTTTATCAAGTTCGTTGATTTTTATTATTTTACTTTTATTATTTTATGAAACACGATCTAAATCCGTGACAAACACTAATCAAAGATCATCATAGACTATGATATATACTTAAGCAACACTCCCTTCCCCACGGTCACAGATGGAATATCCACAACATCTTGTTCTGACATATGAACTACTTGTTTATTACATTTTTAAAAGGATAGTGAAGAAATATGTTTCAACATAGTTAGAATAAAACCATACTCTTGTGATTTGCAAGAATAGCTATATCGTGTTTTACACTTTAATCCTACAGAGCTTGTGCTAACATGTTTTTTTTTAATTTGATTTTTTAGATGGACCGGGTTTGCGGATACCTTGGAGAATTGATTCGATAAATAATATTTTTGATAAGTTGAGTGATCAAGAACGAAATGATATAACTCATGAAGCTCAAGTAAAGAAAAAATTCATTAATCTAATCTCAAAAGAAAAACATTTCTTTTTCGTTTAGATTGGTTTACGTTTTATGGCATTTGGACAATTAAATAAATGGCTTAAACAATATGATATACCAAAAATGATGAAATCATTTCAAAAACGTTCATATTCTGATGATGAAGATCAAGGTAATGAGAGAGAATTATCATAAGATATATTTAAAATAATTTTTATTACATTTAGTTGCAGCTAAACGACCATGTTTGGAATCAGAAAATATCGAAGAACAATAGAAAACAATGAATAGAAAATTATATTTTTATCTCATTCAAAACAATAAAGAAAGTAGATTAAATAGACTTTGTTGAAATGTAATCATCAAAATCGAAAATGATCAAAAAGTTGTATGTTGTCAATCGAATAATTCTTTCATCATGATATAATCAAAGCCTAAGATTGTTTGCTTGCTCATTCGTTGAAGAAGAACGTCAATATATATAATCATAAGTGATGTCAGTGTTGGAGCATGTTGTTACAACTCAAACAACCTGTCTATAAGATCTAGTAGAATTCTATTAAGATGGTAAACGATCTTATAAAAATTTCTATCTCAACCTTAAAGCCAGCATTGCTGAGAATATTATATTGTCAGTTTCTTCTACAATTCTTAAATCAGTTCTAATATGTTTTATAAAACTTAAATATGATGTTCTTCTATTTCGGTTTCTACCTCCTGGTTTTTTTCATAAAGTATTTTATCGTGAATTGTATATGCATTTATTTTTAAACATTTGACAAAAACATAGGAAAACGCAAACAAGTGCTCATAACATATAACTTTGCAAGTAATGAAAAAAGACACAAGTTTTAAATCAAGAATGGGAAATAACATCAAGAGACGTTACACTACTAGACCGAAGAGACCTACGAAAATTAATTTTGCCCTGCCCTACCTATGATAGGTGATCAATTTCTTGAGCCTGTCTGCCTATGATTGTCAGTCACTATCGTCAGCTGCGCTTGTTTATCATCGCCTTTGTATATTTATTAAATATATTAATATTATGATGATCATTGAATGAAAATAAAATCTGTTTACATAAGAAAGCAAAAAACCCATCCCAAGTGAATGATCCTGGCATTCCGAAACAAGCGAATTAGGCCATAATTGATCAGAAAGATTGGAATAAATCATCACATCTGGCCTTAAAATTTCGACAATCGATGATATTTGCAAGCAGTATTCCGAACTAAAGTATCTCTGGATTTTTCCGATGGCTTCTGGTCGTTTCCTGCAGAGCAGACCAGAATATTGATTGGAAGCTAACAAAAATATTCGAAGATATTCCTATTCAAAATAGTGCTGCCAAGTTCTGTCCATAACAGGTGCTCTCCTGTCAGAATTGGCTTCTTTGCATTCATCTGGAATGCATATTTAAATGACATGACTATAAGAAAGATTTATCGATTAAGTATAGTATCTATCTGCTGAAGACAGACAAAAAAAAAGACGACATCACTTGTGAAAAAAGTTCTACTTTTGAATAAGAATGCCTTATAAAAACGTCATGAACTACATAGCTGAAGGGGACATCTAATTCTACTAAGTTACATTTATGTAATTATGTATCCGGAAATGACAAGAGTCAGTCAATGATTTTTCTATGAAAAAGCAAGCATTAACATAGTAAAACGAATGAATAAATTAAATACATTAATGGACAAAAGATCATATAGTCACAATCTCTCATTAAGCATGATTATGTTCAGTTAAAATGATGAGAAAAAAAAATCATTTCTTGTCTTTCAGCTGCAAAAATACACCACTACATATTTTGATACTTACATTTACTACTCAAAAAACGAAAATTTTCTTTGAAAATTTGCAAAACAAAACATGATAGCCAGGCAATCTGTTTATTGTCAGCAGGTGCATACTTTCAGACAAGGTTGAAAGTTAGCTCAAACCTCTAGATTACACTGTAGTTAAATATGATAACGATGTTTACTACATATGAAAAAGAGATTTTAATGAGATTGGAGTAAAACTGAAGTAATCAAATATCCCTAATACCATGATACAAGATTTCATAACAATTGCTACAATTAGTACTAGCTGTTTTTGTAAGATTCTTATAATAAAAATTCTATGAGATTTTTTTCAGCGATCTTATATCGAGAGTCTCATAAAATCTTACAGTAAGTTAATAATTAGATTATTCTGTGATATTTTGAATTTTTTTACATGAAAAACCACAGTTTTGTTTCTCGATTGAGAAGTTATTGATTCTGTCATATCGATATATAATCGTCATATTCAAAATGTTTCAGAAATAAATACTATGGAAATTCTTTATTCCATTATTGCAATAAATGTATTCCTTGCTTTCTATTCAAGAAAGGTTATTGATTAAGATCGAAATTCATATTCTATAAAGCATTTATAAACATTTATTAACATAGTATTATAACTTAGATGTGAACATGAAGACTAGCATAGATTTGTCGTTCAATATATGTCATCGTTTCATTTTGTTGTTTCTGACAATCGGCTCTGGTGTCGTTTCATTATAAACAATAAAAGTAACACCGTCGATTTCATGATCAATATATTGAAGATTAGAGTTTATTGTTTTATCAAACTAAATTATAATAGTTTTTTTCATGAATATAAAATAAAGTTTCTAAATTTGTCATGAGTCTTAAGCATTGTTAGAACATGATAAACATGGTTTAGAAACACAGATATTAATTATTACGGTAAGAAGAAAATGTTCTAGTGGGTAAAATGAATTCTTCTCTTTTTTTTTAACTTTCTAGTTAAGGATTGATAGCTGAAATATTATTAGGTTTTGTTATTTAATATATATGATAAATACAAATATAATTGTTAATCTCTGATTATAAAGTTCAGTTGATAAAATTATGACTTTTGAAAGTTCTTTTTTTTGTATGAAAACTCAATTTAGATAACTGTTCGTGACACAACGCGTATTGTGAAATACGCAGTTGGAATGACATTTTGCCCTACAAATACTTTTTTTCTCCGCATTTTTTTTTGCTAATTATATAAGGTGAAGGATTTTAAATGGATTCATAAAACTTTGATCCAACGTGACTATACATTTAAATTATCCGCTTAATTGACTCTATTAAAACATATGCTTTTATCTTTTCTGTTATTGGCAATATAAGGATAGTTCAAAGAGATAATTTCAATAATGCTTAACTCGCACAGAAATTTCCAAATTAGAAAATGCATTTTTCAGAGAAACCATCAAAATTTACTACTGGTTGACAGATATTTTCATGTCGTCTTTTTATCTTTGATCTTTTATTTACATTTAATATGTCAAGCTGTATGATCTTGCTCTACGAAAACTATTTATGTTTCTACTTTCTTTCTATTAATTCAGATTGGATTAATTAATCTAGAGAAGTGTTGATATAGTAGACGGATTAAAAAAAACAACTTTTTTTCTATGTCAAAATACACTGAAGTTTGACACTCTTCAAAAACAAGTAAATGTGTCATCCAGATTTAATAATCTAATTATTTTAATTTTCCATGTTCCGAAACATATCAAATTACAAGTTGATAAGCGTTAATGAAAATTCCTTCCGAAATATGTCCTGATTTTGATAGATAAATACAGATGTGATTACTATTCGTGACTTGATTAGATTCTTGTCAATACAGCTAATTACATAAATATAGTTAATGTGATATAGAAGACGTCATCAGTTCAATTTATTTTCAATAAGTTTTTCTTTCTATGTTATATGAATAGTGATTCTTTCTGTTACACAAGTAGGTCATATTTTTAAATTATCGGCAGGTTTTTGCACTGGTTCATAAATGCACTTACTTCGAATAATTTAATGCAAGCTTCGTCATTAGATTATGCAATGTTAATTGAAAAATTATTCAATTAGATGTTATGTACTTGTCTTTTTCTTAAATTCTAACTTCCGTAATAATTCAAGCCTAAATATTAAGATGAAAAAACAACCTAATTAAAGAACTTTTCTTTTCGTTGAATCGTTGGTTTGATGTATGTTAAAAACTCTTCTATTATTTTGTCCTTCTTTTTTTATTTAGAAGTCATTCATTCATAGGAAAGCGACACAATCAAATCTATCTGCTTAACAGTGAAGTACCCGTCACAATCAGTGATAAGAGGTGTGAGTGTTTATAACTCATTTTAAATTGTAATTGGCAAAAAAGGATCGAGGCGTTAATAATAGGCCGCATATTTATGAAATGCTTCTTTGTTCAGCTAATTATTTTAATTATAAGACATAGTATTTTACAAAATGAAAGAGATAATGCTAAGATCATTTCATTTATCATAAATCATATAACTATTTACCAGTGATATCAAATCTTTTTCTTAAATGAGTTTATTTAATGAATGTTTAATTATTGATAAATCAAGATAAATCTTCTTGAATGTATTTAATCAATTCATTTCGTTCAATATTTTCATATCTTATTGTATAATATGACAAATTCACTGTTATTTATAAAAACAAAATATATTTCATTAATTTTACGTAAAAATATAACGGTATACATTTAACGGATGATCTCTTCTTTTTTTCTAAACTCTTTCACATAAAAAGTGTATATTGCGTGTCAAAAAAAAGAAACAAAATTCTTTCGAAGAAACAATTAAATCGGAACCGGAACCGGAACATTAATTACTGAAGATTTAATTAAAATAATATCACTTGGCTATCATTCATCATCCTATCGTGACAGATTATTATGTTCAAGTTCTATAATGGGAACTATTTCATCTTCTTGTATGCGAACATCACCAATAAGACTAGGTGTTTCATCAAATATACTTCTTGATAATGATTCTACTCCAAGAACAGGATCCATAGTTATTGTATTCGTATTTTGTTTTTTTTCTAATTTAAAATTCATTGATTGTTGACGATTATTTTTAGAATAAATTACATAATTCGTATTTATTATTGTAGAATTTCGATGAAATAAACGATTTGTTGCTCGAAAAAATCTTTCAATAAATATTTGTCGAAATTTACGGCGAAAAGTTTTTGAAAGAAAGATAAAAAAAACAAAATTTGTACCATAATGTATATTACGTATGGTGCGAAGTAAATGATCAATATAATGCATTTTTAATAAATATACAGGTGAACTTAATTTAGCCGGATAAACACGTCTTATATAAACGAAATATGACCAAAATAAACGATAAGGGAGAGTCAACACTAAATATGATAATGCTACACTAACAAGCATGATTGTAATTGTTCGATCTCTTGAGTGATGTCTTCTTGCTGTTCTTGTAGTATTTGATTTCGTTGATGGTTGATTTGATGCATGCGTTGTTTGAATTGATAAATCAGTTGATGTTGATTGATCCTTTCGAGTTGTTATTAATGTTGGTTGTGAACCAGTTTGACTTTTTCTTGTATGATTATTTCTTTTTTTTGATGTTGATGAATTTAATGAGAGGGAAACTTTTTTTTGTGAATTATTTATTGATTTTGTTTTTTTAGATGCTGTTGGAGATTGTAATAAATTTGTTGCCATTGTCATACGATGTTGTCGTTGTTTTAATTGTATTATAATCATGATATTCATAGCAGCAACAAATGTTAATGGTAATATATGTAAAAAACATGATAATATAATGCCAATAGCATCATAAGCATATTCGTGTTTTTGACTATAAAGGCAACGTTTCCAAACAACAGGATGTAGATTAGACATTTTACGACTTAAATCAAAAATAGGTTTATTTGTTGAAATAAAAGGTCGAAGTTCATGCATAAATATTGGAGAAAAGCAACATAATATCCCCGTTAAAGTTATAAAAGCAATACTGCGAAATGCTTTTAAATGTTGTTGAAATTTAATATTGCGTGTTAAACATGAACAACAATTAATAGGAAAACAAAATGGTATAAATAATGAATTGGATTGTGTGGTTGATGAACTAGATGAATGTTTTTTGTGTTTACGATTAACATTATTTGTATTATTGGTTGCCGATGTTGTTGTTGTTGTTATTGTACGAAAAAAATATGATGATGGACGACATACAGAATACCAACGGTTAAATGATATTGCACACATATACCATGCACTTAATGATGCAAATAATTGATCAGGACACATTAATGCTTTACTAAATAAAAGAAAAAAATAATAATAATCAATAATCATAATATTTATTTTAATAACTAACCAAAGAAAATTTGATCTATCACGAAAATAACCTCGTTCAGATAATCGATTCATACAATTGTCAAGCCAAAAAATAAATACTGGTATTAATAAATTTAATGTATCCGATATATTGAGCATAATTGTATAAAATGAAACAGGTAACTTAGCAATATTACAATATATTAAAATAAATGTTGCAAGAAGATTACCAGTAACACCAAATAAAATCTATGAAAACAAAAATTAAAATTATTTTAATTTTTTATTATGAAATTATATTTTATTGATTATTTACCACAATAGGATTAACAATTAAAACAACCCAAAGTGATAAAAATGAAAGAATATGATAAGAATCTGTATTACTTGTTGATGATGGTAAAAGTGTTTCAAATGAAAACATGGGTGTCGGCATAACAGACGGTGGTGAATCCAATGTATCGAAATTTAATGGAATTTTATATATTGTTCCATTACCAGCCATATCTGACATGAATTGTTGAAAAACTATTGCAAATTGTTGTGAATCAATACCAGAATAACTTGTATTATTATTATTATTATTATTATATTCCATACTATCATTAAGATAATTATATTTAAAAAATGAATTTTCATTTATTCTTGGTACAAAATTAACAAAATTTGAAACAGTATTATTTGTTAATTCACGATTAGATTTTGTAATATACATTTTATAATCAAAAGTAAAAACGAAAAAATAAAATAAAATAAAGAGATTTTGAAAGGTTTTTGTTTTTTTTTTCTTTAATCAAAAATAATAGTCAGAATATAATAGTTATAGTTTTATTGTTTAATGTAAAAGGAAATTCCTAGAACAAATTGTTAACTAACTGTATATTGAAATATGCATTTATAATTGCAAGTAAATGAACGACAAGTCTAGATTGAAGATAAATGATAAGATAGAAAAAAAAGTATTTGTCGTTTGAAATAAAGAAGAAATAATGAATTGAAAGAGAAAAAAGAGAGAACATAAGTACTGCAGTTTTCTCTGGTAGAACTTTTTGTTTTTGACAAGAGCGAATAACAACGCTTTCTCTTAGCCTAACATTATAAGCAATACCATATACATTAGTTTGTCGGAAAAGAAGAGAAAAAAGAAAGATAGCGACAATTTTTCTGTTTTTTTAGAGTTCAAGTTAATGTGGGAGTAAAGAATAATTAGTAGAATGGTAAGCACACTAGGTTTTTATTAATCTGTAGTACTTCTTCAAATGGCTATTTAGCATTAAACTCATTGAAAATCGTAACTATCTTTGTATTTATTCAAACTACATGCACAAGTGCTTTTATACATGTCCTTTGTTTCTTTCTTTTTTAATCTGAAATCATATTAGTTCATATCTATGTCGACGTTAAATGACTGATGAAATAATATGAAAAGAAAATATTACGTAGTTCATAGGGTTTATTTATCAGCTGATTATCAATATTTAAACATATTTATCAACTTACAATAGAATTCATATGACTTACATTATCCATTAAATTAAAAAGTAAAAATTAAAATCTTCAGAAAACTACAGTCGTATTGAAATATATGAGTTAGAAATTTTCTAATATGATCAAATTCTCTGTAATAGTCACAAGCGATCGATCACAAAAAAATAATAGACTTTAAAAAAAAGAAACTTTTCTGAAAGAAAAATAATCGTATTCTATTCTTGGATATCTTAGATTTTTAATCATTTTATTATCAAACAGAAAAGTATTTGTGTCAATGCAAGAAATGTAACTTAATTAGTAATAGAAGTATCAAAAGAATCTTTGCTTTTTTTCTTCGTTATTCTTCATTCAACTTCTCCTTCTTTTAACAATTTTTCTATTCTTTCAAGCATTCTGTGTTCCCCTACATGATTAATTCTATGAATTTCCAATTTAATATACAATATAGTTTTGCACTGTTCGGTGACTAATGAGGGAACATTCCCAACTGTCACATCGCTTTTAAGTCGAGCGTATGCGCATCATGTAGGCTCTAATGATCTATGAATACTCTGAAAAAAGTTCGTGCTGCTAGCTTATTACTACCGAGATATTAAATTTTTACTGTGTGTTTAAGAAAAAAAGCCGTGGTCTCCCTCAGGAACACTAGGAAAACTGAGTTTCGAACTTCGACTTGAAACTTTGCATAGAGATAGGCCTCAATGAGAATAGTTTATTGTGAAAGTGTCAGATCTTTTCATTGTTCCTATCCTAAGATACAGCTATGGTAATATCGCTGATATACACCAGCAGATTCCGATATTCTTATTTCAGACTAGGAGCACTCAAAAGATCTGAAACTTTCACAATAAACTATTCTCATTGAGGCCTATATCTATGCAAAGTTTCAAGTCGAAGTTCGAAACTCAGTTCTTCTAGTGTTCCTGAGGGGGACCACGGCTTTTTTTCTTAAACATACAGTAAAAATTCAATATCTCGGTGGTAATAAGCTAGCAACACGAACTTTTTTCAGAGTATTCATAGATCATTAGAGCCTCCATGATGCGCATGCGCTCGGCTCAAAAGCAATGTGACAGTTGGGAATGCTCCGTCGTAAGTCTTTCCTTTTAATAACAATCAAAAACATTCAAGAAAACGATAAAGAAAAAAATTGTTACATTATTCAGTCTTGTTTTATT